TCGTCATCAGTAAATATTACTGTATAACACTATGTGATGTCATCAAAATAAAATTTAATCCATAATGGAATTATGCCCTACCACAGTGTCCGAGTTTTATCCTTATTTTAAAATCATATTGAGTTTATGAATAATTTAGTTTTATAAACTATCATATCCATACACTAATGCATTCATAGACACCAGTCTAAGTTAGAGTCAATCAGCAGATCTACTGGATGGATAAACACTAACAGCTGTAAAACGAGGACAGGTATTCAAACTGCAGTCAGGATTGAACTCATATAGCAGTACTGGGGGTGCGTACTAATGAAAAGTCCCAAAATAGGACGAAACAGCTGTCCAGTACTCCCAGCTTGTTTTCCAGTGGTTCTCTAACTGATGTCAGCTCATGGTGAAATCCTCCATACAATCAAACAAAATCCCTACAAAACCAATACTTGAAAATATATTTTCATTTTATTTCTAAAGATGGAACGATAGGAAGAGTCAGATGAAGCAGTTACAACAAAACAGTAGAGAGATTGTCATTAAATCCAGCAACTTCTAACAAAATCCATAATATGTATGTATGCGTGTGTCAGCTGTAACATCTTAAAAAGTCAGAAATGGTCATTATCAATAAAAGATGAAATAATCGACCCAAAAAAGGTTAGATAATCAACTGCATTCGTGTAGCAGAGTATTAACGTGTGTTTGTCTGTATGTGTGTATTTATGTATTTGACTACAACAAGATTATGCACACACTGACTAATTGTATGCTTTATTTCTCATATATGTTTAGTCTTCATTATCAGCAAAACTATCACAGTTATCGATCAGCTGCATATACATTTAAACTGTTGGATTACTGACAAAACCGTTTAATAAAATATCTTCTAAAAGTTCATTTTTGATGATTACAATTCACAGTTAGAAGTTCTTAGAAAACAAAATGCCTTCAGTTGTGCCACCATTAAATATACGGAGAATAGCGAAAATTAATCAATATAAATGTATCAACAAAAAATATTCACTCTAGTAAATCGTATGGTAAATGAGATGTAAAGAAATTGATCTGGGCTTATTAGTCTGGTTCATAGTATTAGTTGTCGTATTTAATGAGACCAGTAATCTGAGTGCCACAAGATTAACTAACAAAGTCTGAAGAAAGAATCTGATTTTGGAATTCTGACTTCATCAACTTTATGTTTTACATGAATTGGTTATGTTACATAAACGTCGTTTGGTATTTGTTAATTTCAGTTATCTTAGGTTAAAGTACGATATCCACCTGCTCATAAAATATAAATGCTTATGTATGAATAGTGCAACACATTATTATGTAACAGTTTGCTACACGTGATTGAAGAAAAGACAGGATGTTTTCAGCTGTATGTATTTGTGTTCTACTACCTATCTCAAGAGAAGCGTCACAGTAGATAGTAATACGGTTGGAGCAGGACAGGAAGTCAGTCGATTTTGAAAGTGCGACAAGTGTCACGCATAACAGACATCAATCTCCCTATATAAAGTAATGTTAGCTGGAATATGATTAGGCAGTAAACTTCTTGTGGGTGGTCAGAGAAAGATATGGCACTAATTCATGAGGTCACAAACTGTAACATCAGTGGGTTTTTAGAATGCTGACAGTCATTGATTAGATGCCACTGACGGCATACCTTAAAATCATGCACTTGCTTTCCCAGATTCAGAAAGTTCTCACCAATCTTTATTTAATCAGTGTTTTAGTTGAACCCGTGTTCATTTATTAGAATTTCTCAGCTGTTATAGACTTTTCAAAGTATGACAATTTCTTCTCAGGTTTTTGCATTGATTCATCAGTTAGTCAGCCAGCATTTAGTATTCAGTGTTGGTTGAATTCTGTTAGGTCAAGTCTACCTTAAATACTACGAAACATGATACTAATTGCTCCTACTGAAGGGCATTTGCGACCAAGATGGCTTGTTATTAAATGTCTAGCTGGATAAATCAGGTTCGTATTTCTCAGAAAACGTCGTGTTCCTGAGTGTTAAAACTCAGCTATGTCGATTGTTTCCACTAAGCATGAGGCCGAATTTCATTAGCTTCTTGTAAACTACTTCTCAGCATCAAAGAGGATAGATCCTGTCATATCCACCAGTTTCAAATATGTCTTCCCAGACCTGTTGTTTTCATTGATTAGAAGCTAAGACAGATTTTTACTATTCCATACAATATTAGTAAATTCAATCAATTTCAAACCTTTGATTGCCGAAGGAGTACTGAAAACACATTCTCAGTAAAATCACAAAACTTATTAAAGATGATAACTTATACAGAAGTTATTCATAACAAATGTACTAATAAATACCATATATGCTTGAGATTTTTATGTGACTTGGTCCCAGAGTGTATCTTCTAATTGGTTACACTTTAAATTAAGTGTGTAAAGATAACCTTTCAAGATATCCTAAAGCAACAACAATCAACTAGATCAATGTGATTCAGTCAAAAAGCGATCACTTTCCGGAATGAAGCTAAAAGTTATAGATCTAAATTCAAAGTGGAGGTCAGGGTACTGGTTTTAAGAGCATCTTTAACCTTTGTCAAAAATGGCGTAGTTTTATTGGTCTGTGAGTTTCATCGATAACATTAGAGCATTGAAGTCAGTCATTAAGGGGAAGTGAAGCTCTGGAGCATTGGTACAGTCATTGAGCTTTCAACGCAGCTACTTTTTAGAACTTTATTCCCTCTCCTCAGATTTTGCAAACAAGTAGTATTTTTAGTCCTCAAATTACACACCTGACACATTGTCAGATGCATACAAAGAGAATCATTTGTTGAATAACATTTCTTCTCCTCATTCAAAAGGAATGTTTGCCAGTTATGAAGGGATATGATAACAGCATTCTGAAAGTCCTGAAAACACACTTAATAATTGGAGCGTCAAAAACGTTCACGCTTCATTAGGCATCAATTATTATGCGACCACCTCCTACTAATACTGTACCGATACTATATTTCAGTTTAAATATTATTCCCACAGTATACTGTAAGTGTAAAACAGAAAATTCAGCATAATCAGATGAATACTAATTGAGTAACTCATGTATTGGTGGGGTCCCGTCCTTCATCACACATTCTTCTTCTAATTGAAACGTGTAAAGTCAACAATGGACAATATGGATGAGTAATATATTGCGGTTGAGTGGGTGAATACTTTTATGAAAAAGTTTACACGAAACAAACAAACCGAAATAATCTTCAAAATGAATTATTAGAAAAATAGTATTTTGTTAGAAAAAATAATATCTTACTGAAGATTTCACCCTGAAAATATTATTATATAATGTCGTGCAGCAGTAAGGACGATGAAGACGAACTTCGCCGGCCATGAATTAAGATTGATTACTTCCTCATTTAATTTAATTTTGGGTAGGTAGACATACCGTCCAGCATAATTCAAAGTGTCTTTGTGCGTCGATGGCATAGTAGTTAGGACTCACCGACCATACGCATGGTCCGGGGTTCGATCCCCTGCCTACGCAAACCTAACATCTATGGTCGGCCTGCAAAATTTGGGCTACCGATATCACATGCTGAAAATTCCATACCTATACCAAAGCATACGATGTGTAATCAAGCTGTTATCAAAAATAATTAAAATTTAAAAAAAATAACAGAGATTCACAATGTTTGCAGTGTTTTTCGGCTCGCAATGATCCATGATCTATCATGGAGTATTCTAAAGAGCTCACTTCATATTAAAATAAGAGCTGGAAAAGTTGTTTAGAAGGACAATAAAAGCTTTGCGATTAAACTATCCAGTTTAAAGAACAAAACATAACAAAGTTGTATTTCTCATGAAATTATTCCACACATCATACACACTCCTTTTGCTGAATTTGCTGAAGAATCAGATTTCATCCGTTAAAGTATTTGAGTTTTCAGCCACTAAAAATTCCATCTACCTCTAATCACCTTATGCTGTATGAAGAGTTTACTCGTTTGTTAAGTTTGTAAGATGTTGAATGAATTAGAAAGGGATAGTTCCTCATTTAATTGCCAGTTTTATTCCAATTATACGACCTCAGTAATAATAACGATAGTAACAAACAGTGTTTCTAGAGTTGTGTTCATCAGCTGTTTGTCAAGAACTATCTGCAAGACATTAAGGTAGTGTTTAGCTGTTCAAACGACAAATAGTTAAAGTTTCCGACCTACGGAGCAGTAAATTAATAACCGGAAATTAATTTCTAATATGTTTGTATACTGCATACGTAAATGTTTACTTTATTGCCATTAGCAGAAGGTGATGTTCAATATCTATTTCCAATGAAATAAAAAAGTCACTGTCTTTTGTTTTCATGATTATCATTTTACACCCTCTTTATAAAATCACTAAGAATCAATACTGATTAAAGTAGAGGGTAATATATAAACTGTTACTAGTCAATCGACATGAAGTACTGGTGAAATTATTTTTGATGCTCATCCATGTAAGATATCCGCAAAGTTAAAAAGTTGTATCCCCTTTTCCATCTGTATCACTGACTGTCCAAATTGGATACTTTTTTAACCTATAAAGTTGCATTTTGTATGCCAGTTGGCCTTGTATAATGTTTCAAGTAAGTGTTTACTACGCAAAAGTTACGGTCTAGGGGAATGAACGTTGTGGGTTAGATGGCTTAGTGGTTAAATCTTTGAATAATAGGGATAAGTAACGAAGATTCGAATCATGGACAAAACTTTCGTTTGATTTCAACTGCCGATACACCTTCTTGGTAAATGCTGACAAACATGAAATCTAGTTCCAGGACTTCTCAATCTTCTCCACATCAAGCATCAAATGACAGAGCCTTACACTTTCAGGTTGATAGCTGAGTAACGACATTGTACACCTGATCAAATAATTTCATTAAAACACTTGGGATTGAACATCTACACAGGTCACTATCAGAAAACTAATTTACACAGAGTCAAATATGCCCACAGATAAAACTGTCTTGTAATAATGGTAATAATACATGCACTTACCCTGGATCATTTAAATCTGCACTAGATTCGATCACGAGTGATGTTTGTCGTTTAGTTAGCGCTAATTTTGTATAGGATTCAGTTAAACTTTCTGTTGTTATTGTTGAGGTAGTTTCCGGGCAAAGAGCTTCACCATTACTACTACTTGTTGCACTTGTCCCATTGCTGTTCATATCACCGACTGCTGAATCATCAGATGGGCTAGCGCTTGGTTTTGGGCGACTGACAGTCATTTTATCTTGTGTTTTTTTAGATTTAAGCTATTACTAATTTCCAAGAATACTAGTTGCAGCTGTAATATATATGTGTATATGTATATGTGTAAATATAATTTTAGGGTTTACAAAATTCCAAAACTTCACTGCAATAGGAGAACTGTGAATGATAATGACGGCGAAATAAATTAAATCTATTTACACGACAATTACAAGCATGGAATAACTACTTCACTAAATGATAAACACTACGAAGCAACTAACACGCTGTAACTAGTGCGTATTATGATAGATGGCTTAAAAATAGTCTTGGTTTTTTAAGTCAATCGAAATGATGTTATTGTATTAGAGGCTAATTGTAGCCAATCACTAGACAGGAATTTTATTAAAGGTCAAGAATTCTAAAATATTACTGGTTTGTAAAATTTATAGGTTAACCAAATACGCCATCATAATTGACCAATCATAATAAACAGGTCAAATATTTGGGCTTAACATTACGATTGATGAAATCTAGGAACTCGTAATTAAAAACTAGTTACGTGCCCCCACTAAGTGGTGATATCGTAACTTTAAAATTTAAATTGAATGAACACTTAATTTAAAATTCAACACTCATTAAATAAATAAAAATTCAGAAATCTCCCAATAATGGTAGTTCGGTTGTCACGCTGGTTACATAAGACTAGGGTTACTACCACACATTCACAATGAAGAAAATCAATAAGATGGAAATAGAATTAATGTATGTATTGTTATACCAAGTTCACCGTTAGAAATATAAATGTCAGCGATAAAGTAATGTAATGCAATTTTTGAACCATTTGTTTCTTGATCGTCTCGAAGTGCTTTAAACTTCTTTTTGTAGTGAATAGATGGCACTTCTCTTGAATTTCATGTGTGATAGTGTGCTGCAAATATAACAACACATTCTAATGAAAGAATATATACCTAGCTTGCGTAACGAAAGACTATTTTGCTGATTACATATATCTCTGTTTGCCGATCCATGTTCTAATGCTCAGCTTAGCATTTTGTGACTTGCTAAAGTATGTACTTATCCTCAAATTATTTGAATCTTATTTAAGCAATTAATTATTTTTGTTATTTTACTCCTTTGCTTTCCGAGTGAAACATAAGGCTTTAAGCATCAGCTCAAAGGTTTCATTAGTAGCAGTGTTTATTTTTATGAGGTAAGGTTGCCAGCCTCAGACCCAACCCTCCTTCTCAACCACGCTTGCTACCAGCTAAGTAAAGTTTAGGAGTGCATCGTCCAAAGACCAAACTCCGAACCATCTGCATGGTTACCAATTATCCTACCGCTGAACCAAAATAATTTAGCTTAGTATCATTTATGGTTAATATCAGATTTCGAAAGAGGTTATACCGTATTTTTTCAGTTTCTTATTTAACTGGAAACAGTTTTCTTGATTTCAGATTTCATCTTGATTACAGAATTCATCTGTAAGCAACATACATCAAGCAAAAATTCATTTAATGATATTCACCAATTAGGCTAGATAAATATTATGCAGTACGCTTCTCAAAAGAGACGTATTCCCTCTTAATAAGTTCGATACATACTTGGAAGTTTCAAGACAGATCACTAAATGATCTCAGTTAGAGAACCATTGAGAACCAGGGAGTTTCCTGTTTCCTGCAGTCGTCTTTAGCAGACTCCACGACTATCCACAAACACTCATCTCCTCTTCACATGATTTATTCCACGGTGAGTTCAGACTTCTAGACTTATTTCAGAGTAATGAATGTCTTTCTTCTGTTTCCGATCCTGGGTTTGGGATCTTCATCCGTATCATCTGTGTTTGAAATGATGCTGCCTACAGAAGTCACAGAAATGACTTCTTCCAGATTTCTTTCATTATTGATTGATGACTAGTGTTGTTGGTTAAATGGCTAAATCAACTCTATCTTCTCTATGTCTCAGTTGAAGAACTGTCTTCACTATTCCTTTGGCCAACTTGTTGGTTTTCCCTTGTAGGTTTTCAGGTTTGTGTGACATTAGACATTAATCATCCACCAAGTCAGAATCTTCTACAGCCTTCTTATCGACTCAAAATATTTTTTTGCTTTTTTTCTCCTCACGGTCTGTGGCATGATTCTGTCCACCACAATCAGGAATATCATGCATGCAGACTTGTCTTACTGTTATCTTCACTTCAAAGGTTTTGCCGAGAATTTTGTCGTCAGTCACTTGACATGTGACACTAATTAAGTTTACAGTGTGATCGTATATCTAGGGGACATAATACTGTGCTAGACACTGTGAATGTTGCAGGTTTTTTTGAAATTCGATAAAGTTGAGGTACACATATAACTGTCATTGTGTGCTCTTTTCTATGATGTTGCATATCACTGCGATTCGGCTCCTTAATCAATTGCTCTTCTTGAATTTGGCTTGTTCCTGGCAGAGTTATGCATCCATAGCATCTCTGAGTCTCTTCAGGATGACAAGAGCATGATTCTGTGGCAGTTCTTGCAGTTCTTCTTTGAAAGTTTGACGCGATTGCCTTTCTTCCGATCGGTAAATGCCTTTCCATACTTCGAGGCTTTGCATCATAGTAGTGGTGCGAGGATAAGCGCGGAGGCCTGTTTTCAGCGCTTGCTGAAGAACCACGTCTGATCCTGCTGCATTCCTGGCTTTAAGTAGCTTAATGGAGTTCAGAACTTCTACTCTTGCTGAAGGACTGGTTTTCACTGTCAGTTCTTTGCGTGCAGTAGGTGACAGTCATTTTAGGCGTCATTTGAAGTAATCAGCCCATTATTTGCTCTCCTTGTCCTCTTTGATAACTGGGTTCTCTTCATTATAATTTGTTGGTCGATTTCTTTTTGCCGGCTTCTTCCCTGACAGTGACCTGGTTACGTGATATTATATTGTAAGGTCTCTTCTACCTACGGTCTGTTGTGCTTGGATAACCAATGTTTCATTGAACCGTTCTTTGTCTTTTCCACCACTCTTATTCACTTCCTTATTCAGTACATTGTAGATTGAACTCAGATTCTCCTTTCGCTGTCCATCCTTGAACTGGTTTACCTTCTGTCTCCTCATTCATCTTTACTCTTTTAGCTTTCATGTATCCGTAGACAACCATTCATTGCCTTGTGTCTTCTTTTTTCCGAAGACACATATACACATTTCCTGCAACATCACTTTCAAAGAGTCCCACTGTTTCGTCATACAGGTTTGTTCGGTGATATTTCATTATTTTTCCTACTTTGCTCTGATGGCTGCAGTGAATGTGTTCAGTTTCTGAGTGTTTTAGCTATACAGTAGTCAGTTGTTTGGAATGCTTTCAACCTGACCTTGAAGATTCTTTGCAATAGATAATGGAGCCCACATCTGCTCCCCTTCTCGACTTTTTGTCCAGAAGACTGTGTCTCCATTTTTGAGATTGCAATTAAGTCTATATGATTTTTGGTATATCCATCAGGTGGAATTCATGGTGTTTTGTGAATATCCTAATGCTTGTACACACTGCCTCCAATTTCCAAATGACTGAATGCATAGAAGTCATTTCATTCATTTCCCGGAGCGAAAGTCTCTCAACCCATGATGAATTCTCCTCGTGTATTGTCTGCTCCCGGTTTAGCATCCATACCACTCGTTAGGATTTTGATGACGCCATTTGAGATCTTATTCCTTACTATCTGCAGCTATCTGCAGAGTTCCTCCTTCTCTTGTTCAAAGGTGTTTGTAGGCTCATACCATTGGATGAGCACAACTTTCCTGCCTTTCAAAACAGTACTTGTCATAATCTAATAATAATAATAACAGCTTTATTCCAAACAGTATTTGTGGTACAGGTATGGAATTTTCAGCGTGCATTACAGTATATTGCATCTAATTACCTCATAAATTATATAAGATTTTTAAAAATCAAAGATAAATAAATAAAAATAAAATAAATAATTATAAATAAATAAAATAAATAAAAATTAAAAATTAAGAAAAAACAGCGTAGAGTATTTCATTTCAAACAATGCACCACAGGATTTGAAATATAAAGTTGATGTGTGGTAGAAGATGAGAACAACAGTGTAATAGTAACGAGGAAAGGAAAACAAAAACTAATGAGACTATTTGTTAGAGTGCCGCAGTAAGTTTATCGTGTCATACCTAACGGATTTCTCATCACATAACAGCTGTGCCAGATATGGTATTGTGGAGTTTTTGTATTTGGTAGTCCTAGCATATAGCCTCCTATAGCTGCTTCTAGTTCTACCAGATGAAATGCAAGGAGATAGATGCGTATAGAGAGGATGCTCGGGGTCCGACAATATTGTATTCGCTAGTTTCTTACATGACATAATATGTCTATCTACAATAGTGTTCACCAGTTGGTTTAACGATATCCCACTTGCCCTACTAACAGCTTTTAGTGCCCTTCTCAGCGAAGCAAAGTCTTTCTTAAGTAGTCCAGGAAAGACTAATGGGGAGCAGTAAAGGAGGATGGGTAGAATACAAGAATTTACAAACTGAGAAAGTAAAGACTGCTTTATGCCAGACTGCCTAAATTTCCTAATGTAGAACGTTAAGCGAAACATCTTTCTAGTAACTAGCAAGATGTGGGAAGACCAGGAAAGATCGGTGGAAAAACTCAGCCCAAGGTACTTGACATTAGATGTATTTTCAACCTCTGTGCCGTCAATGAGAGTGGGGCCATGTGAGCTAACTAGTTGCTGTAGGTCACATTTACGTCTGAAAGTGAAATTGACTACCTGACATTTAGACGGATTAAGCTTAAGTCCGTTTGAAGAGGACCACTGACTAATTTCCGACAGAAAGCTATTTAATTTGGAACAATCTGACTGAGAGTTGACAGGCATAGAAACCGAGAGGTCATCGGCATACTTAACAAAAGTGGCTACATCAGAATGAGGCAAGTCATGTAAGAAAAACGAGAACAGAAAGGGAGAAAGAACAGCACCTTGAGGAACACCAGCTAAAGTAAGTGAGGTAGTGGAGGATTTTCCATTGTAGACGGTGTACTGCTTCCTTTCAGAAAAATAGGAATGCAACCACTTATTTGTCCAGCTTTCAGCCTGTGTTGCAGCAAGCTTACTTAGCAAGAGAGACCTGGGAACAGAGTCAAATGCAGATGTGTAATCAAGGAAGGCACAGCGAACGTATTTAGCTCCTTTATCTAAACTAGAGACTATGCTATGGTGGAGGACGACAGCGGCATCTAACGTACTCCTACTATGTTTATAAGCAAACTGGTTGGGGTCGTTGAAAGGTTTTAAAGAGGGATCAAGATTAAGTAAAATAAGT